TATATGCCAGGTCTGTTGCTTCCTACGTCACGGAGGCCCCCGAAGTCAAAGTGCCTCAACTTAACCTTTTCCAGTGCTCCAAACTGACCTTCTGTGCCTCGCAGAACAGTCCTTAACTATCAAGTCAAAATTGCTCCCTCAGAAATAATGTTCCCTTGTTAATAGACAGTTCCTTCCTTTTGTTGCCAAGTGGTTGATGACTGAGCTTCTGGGTCTATATTTGAACAAATCTTTACATAAAGATCGAAGCAAGGCTCTGACAAGCAATTAAACATCATAAAAAAAGGAAAACTTGACATATTAGACTTATTATCATTCTAAATCAGTACTTTTATAATCAGACAGCATTTAATGAAGTGAAAATTCTGCCTGCATGAAACTAGTCATAATAAAATTAGACTTGGTTTGCTCTTTCATGGTGAACATATTCCAGATGTTTAAGTGATTCAGAGAAAACCCAGAGTATAATGGCTCCCTTGAATGTTTTCTCACTTATTGTTTCCACACTAGAATAAAATCTAATGGAAGTCTGGTAGTATTTAAATAGCGCATCATATTGTTCAGAGTCAGCCTTACTTTTTGACATTTTATGTTTAGTGTTTAATAATTTAAATGTAAATATCTATGTGCATTAATAATTAAATTAGCAGTATTAGAAGTGCTAACATTTGAAAGACAGTCAAACGCAATGTTACATCCACTTAAATGAGATGGTACCTGTATTCACTCTTCGCATAGTATGTCCTGTGACTCAGTGTTTAGGGGACCGTGCTTCCTGTTATGTACACTTCTAGGCACTGACAACTTACAGCAGTGAGCCATCGTCAGGTGGTATGGAGCTGCCACCAGAACCTAGGTCAGATGTCAAAGCGAAGACTGACTTAAACACTCTCCTGCCTTTTTTTTTTTTTTTTAACATCTTTATTGGAGTAAAATTGCTTTACAATGGTGTGTTAGTTTCTGCTTTATAACTAAGTGAATCAGTTATCCATATACATATGTTGCCATATCTCTTCCCTCTTGCGTCCCCCTCCCTCCCACCCTCCCTAGCCCAACCCCTCTAGGTGGTCACAAAGCACCGAGCTGATCTCCCTGTGCTATGCGGCTGCTTCCCACTACCTATCCATTTTACGTTTGGTAGTGTATAGATGTCCATGGCGCTCTCTCACTTTGTCATTTCTCTTCCTCTCTTTTCCACCATCAGCTATCTCCTTTCCTCCATTCTCATGTGCTTAGTGCCCTCACGATGACTTCTAGCCAGCTAAAGTTCTTCCTTCTGCTCGGGCCCATCACAATTATCGCCCCAAAGTGAACCTCTGCACCAAATTCTCTCTTTAGCAACTGACCTCCCCCTAATCAAAGCTTCCGTTTATCTTAACAGAGACTTAGGCACTCAGATTAAACAGAACATATGGCTTTTCTCCCTTAATAATAACAGTAGTAGCAGTAGCAGTGGTAATAAAATCGTAGTAGTCGAAGTTTTAAATAGGTGCTCTCTATTCCAACTCATTTAGGACCTAGAGTTTAACAGTTAATTGAAAAAGTCAGTTAAATTAGGGAATCATAAAAAATATGTCTTAAACATCTTATTCTATGTTAAAATAGTCACTAATATCTTAACGTTGTGCGAAGGTTTTTTCTTTGAGTGTAAATTCTCTGATTAGAGTTCTCCATAAATCACACTGATAACACAGACGTTCTGATTTCCAGTTCAGGTTTCCTTAATGCAGACAGAGTCCACTGGGAAACATGAGAAGCATTCTGAATACAGAATCTTTCTAAAATTTTCAGGTTGTTTTCCTACTCTTTTACAGTTGTCTTGTCCACACCCAATTCAGTAATACTTCTTTTTCTTTTTCTCTTAAAGCAATTTTCCAGAATATTTAACCATGTTTTTCTAGAAATAATAACTTATTTTCTTCTTAGACTTATTTCTTTGGTTTAGGAAATCTTTCATTAAATTATGTAATTGCAATACTAATTGGCAAAAGCAGGTTTGAGAACATACACACATTGACAAGTCAACTAATGAGAGCTGAACGCCATGCATACTGACAGGTATCTCTAACATCTTATTTAGAGGTTGTTAGAGGCACCAGTCAGTATGTTTCCCAGACAAATGAAGACTCTGGCTAATCTGATGAGTCTTAAGTGGAGATCAGTTAAGGGAACTTCTACTGTAATTGGTAGATACAAGCAAAAAAAGACAGAAGCCACAAAATCCCATGACAGCGTGTGTGTGCACGCGAGGGCTGGGGTGGGGGTGGGGGTCTAGGGGGGAGGAGGGGGAGGGA